AAGTATAACGGTACTGTCTCTATATTTCACCTTTTTGAAATACATTTACAGAAGAAAAATATATCGGGCTTCGATTCTCATCACCCAGTGATGAGAGTCGAATAGGTATGGCCAAACCCACGATTGGTATGGAAAAACGATCTCTTAGTATCGACGGGACAGAAATACTGAAAAAATTGAAATATAAAATAATTATACTTCATCATCTATTCAGTGTCTCGAATACAATGTACCGGTACAATACGTTGATTAAGAATAGTGACGTATCCAGATGTCGTCAATAATAATGTTATTCGAAAATTCATTTTGTAGATAAATCAAATAAGATTTATATACATGTAAAGAGGGATTTATTTATTTATCTTTTAACTATCGGAAAATCTCATAAATAAATAATCGTTATTACAAATTTTTTAAATCTATTGATATTTTAAATTTTTTGTTAAAAAGAGGAATATAATTCTTCTTTCCTCTTTAATTATTCTGTGATTAACATAATAAAAATTTATTTAAATATTGTATTTTAGGTATGATTTTACTCTTTCCGAATATATCATTTCAACAATTGAATTTAAACATTCATTCATGCCATTTATTTATCCATTTAATGATGATACAATTCATAGCACTGTTTAAACTACAAGATGCATATTACCCTTTACTATTTGTGTGGACTGTAATATTACTTTTCCGGCTGTTTTGATATACTTTATATAGTATATAACCAGGGGCGGACTGGCCCTAAAATTTTTGTGTGGAAAATTTATTACCAGCCCACAAATAAAAAAAATGTATTTTTTCTATTTATGTTTAAATATATTCAAAATACAACATTGACAAAAATTACAATAAGCACAAGTCTATATTCTACAATATTAATTTTTTATTTAAAAGTTTGCTTTGTTGAACAATAATATTAANAAATAATAAATATAATTTAGAAAGTATAACAATTTCCTTGATGTTTTGTTATAATGTTAGAAATTATTATCTTATACAAAATGAAATTTTTAGAAACGTTTGTAAATTTGTTAAAAATGTGTGCATAATGTAAACATTTATTATATTTAATTACATTTATTTTAAGAGATGAAATCTACTTAATATGTTAACAATTAGAACCAAAATAAAACAAGATCAGAAAAATATTTTACTTGTTTAATTCTAGAAACATGTGAACAGCAGGTAATTGTTATATGATACATAAAGTTTTTTTTATAGCATTATTTTACAACAGGGTTCGGATTTTATAATTCTTAGAATTTTTTGTATCATATTGAAAGACAATCACAGCAGCCGAAGGTGAAACAATAGAGAAACAAACAATTTAACTAGGATACCACCAAACTGATCACACATTCTTGCTCGATAATTGAAGAGGCAGGAAATAGAGTACTGCAGCTCTCAATCACCAGTCATCATTTCCATAAATTCTGTAAAGTATACGATTTTATAAATATTGTTAAAATTCAAAATAAATTAATTATTAATAAAGAAGTAGCACCCACAACATAAATTCTAGTATATAAATCACATCGAATAAAGTTATTGTACAATAACAAAACCTAGACGGGGGAAACGCGTTTTAGCTCAGATTAAAGTACGAACCTACGTATTTTGAGAGCATATCGTATGCTTAAATAGTCAAGCTATTATGTATTGTTCTTTCCTCCAGAATATACTTTGTTAAAATATCGTAATTCCAGCTGATTATAACAGTTGTGTCCGGCCAAATTTACCCGCAAATATATTTGACATCTTACTTATGATAGAAATATACCTACTTTTTGTATATTCGGAATACACAAAATATTTGCCATCCGCCTACCTACACTTATACGCAATTTGATCCGCCTATCGAAAAATTTTGGCACTACTGGATTAGACCATTAGCCAGCTTAATTAACGTCGTTTGTTAGGATCTTTCCTTTTTTTTCTTCTAGCATACTATTAACATTTTTGGACGAACGTGTGTTTTACACATCAAAAATATAGTTAATGAAGTATCTTCTTTACTATAGCAATAATTAAAGACATGTACAATTACTATATCATATTTTAAATCAATTTTCTCTCACGTTTCCCAGAAAGCGTTGTTATTTACATTATTAAAGTAATATTTAACATTAATTTAAATTAAAATTGTATCGGTACATATATATATTTGTACTGATATTGATATTCATATTGTAGATATCTAAGACCATTATATATAAATGTATTGTAAAAATTAAATATAAAATTGTAATGAACCGCTTGTGTTTTTTAAGCTGTTCACGAATTTTTTAAAATTAAACTTAACCAAACAGTACATTATGTACATATTTAAAAAAAACGGCCCAAATTGTATACGGCCCATGTGGAATTTTCCACATTTTCCACATGGCCAGTCCGCCCCTGTATATAACAGAAGAAAAGCATTGCGATCTGACAATAAATGACCCCCAAGATTTTTATATTTTTGGCTTCGAGATCTTGAAACGTCAAAAGTAACGGGTATTTTCTTTATGTCTGGACGTTGGGGTACGATTTTATTCACCCACTTTGAAGCTTAATAACTCCTGTGTCTTTTGTCAAAAATTTCTGAAAATTTGTAGCTTGTATATTGGGAATTGATGCCATTAAATTTTGGTAGTTAAAGATCCAGGGAGTGAGGAGATAGAGGCGGATCATGTCACATCGCAAGTAGGGTCGAACTTAATGAAAATTTCACTCGTTATTACCATTTACAAGTTTTATTATTATTTCTTTTTATATAAAACTCATCTCTACCTTCAAAATTAAGCTTTACCAATTGCCAATTTATAATATTTAATAATATAAAAACGTTTACAAATAAAATTTCATAACAGATGGCGCCACACACAGTTTTTACTTTTTGCTGGGAAAATTGCACAACTCGTTCTTTGGATTTTTAAATTAAGCAAATAAAAAGTAAAATTTTAGTTTTCAGATCTTCAGCGCTGACTTCAAGATCGAAAATATTTTTCACTGATATTGAAATTATGCTGTTTAGTGCAAGATTATATTCGGATTCAAATCTGAATCTTGTATTGATAGCTTCTAACTTTCCTCGAATGATTTCCAAATCAAATCAAAAATATAAATGCCTAGATGGAAGAATTAAAGCTAGGAGGATCAGGGTTCGAATCTCTTAGGCTGCCACGATATCTCGAGAATGAAAAGAGACTTATTGAACTAATATACATATACAAGAGTGCAACAAAAATTCTAACAGAATTTCTAATGAATTATACATAAATTATAAACGAACTAATATTGATCCACTACAATCAAAAACAATTTAACTTCTTGAAAGTGGTCTCATTTTAATATTAAATATTCTTTATGGGATTTAGAAAATATATGTTCGATATAATTGAAATATTTTATGTATTTAAAAAATCATTTGGTTCCTATTGTAGGGAGTACGGACCCGAATTAGATTTTGTCATAAATCCCTTACAGTGTCGAAAGAATCGCTTGTTACGGGATCTTGCGATTTTTTAAAATGTTCTTTTTCTCTAAATCATTCCGACTGGACACGTTAGAAGATATGTGGCGACTGCCATTCGTGACTCTGAGTTATGTGACAGCTGATGGACTTAGTTGAAGAGGTTGTGACTGTCCTGTGTATATTCAGGTGGACAGCCTTTGCATCAATTTCGGCAAATAAGCTTTTACAATCCTTAGTTTGATTTTTATCTATACAGTCTATACAATTACGCTATAAGATGAAGTCTTTTAAGCATGCTTAAGATCGAGGTCAAATACACATAAGTTATGTAGCACGCATTGAGCTGTCCTGACTAAAAACTTTTCTTATTAAAACAAAATATATAATAAATATTAGAGAATTTCAAGCATGCAAAAAGTTTTTTCATGGTTTCCTTCGTTTCTGAATAATTCTCAAACATTTACTGTTTTGTAGATTTCATATAGAGCAGGAATACATAGACAAATGAATAGTTAAAGCATAATTAAGGTCATCGACGCAATTATTTTATTAAACTGATCGAATTTATAACTAAATAAATAAAACAATACCATTGTAAGTTGCTAAAAATACAGTAATAGGCTAATAAAATAATCAAAATTTTTAATAGAAAGATAACAATCGATTAATGTTTTCACATTCTTTGACTAATTTAATTCAGCTTCTTAATCACAAGTTTTATTTTCTGAACATTGTTTATAAATCTCAATTATTTTTATAGGGCAAATCGAGGATAACAGCCAAAATTATTTGTATAGTAAAACGTAGTTTTAATCGATTCAATTTTATTTTTAAGACAAATTAAATTCAATAAAATTATAATTTATCATCAACGGTATAATAAACAATTCACAAAGGATTTATACATCTTAACCTTGAATTATCTTAGAATGTTAATAATTGAAATTATGATTGATTATATATATTACTCTCTCAGATGTGATTCATAGTCTACTTAAATTTAGAAATAAAATATCGTAATCTTATGAATAATTATAAACTACGTGTCAAAGTTTTTACTTTAATAAATATNAAAAATGAAAAATTTAAAAGTTATGAGAACTCAAATGTGATTTATGTATTAATGTACATATATTTACATTTCTGTATAAACTGATGTTCGGTTTCCTTCCTAAAAATTTGTTTGAATTTAATTCATTTTTTGAATAGCTCAATGTTTTTATTGTTACTTCCTGTTTGTTTTTAAGTTTTAAATATAAATTTATTGTTAAATCTGTTTTTATATTTGTATATTGCGAAAAGATAAGGCTACTCTGTATTACATTTTTAAAAATTATATAGAAAGACTTACACATTCATAAAATTTTTATAATACAATTTCGCAATTATTGTCTTATACAAAATGAAATTTTTAGAAACGTTTGTAAATTTGTTAAAAATGTGTGCATAATGTAAACATTTATTATATTTAATTACATTTATTTTAAGAGATGAAATCTACTTAATATGTTAACAATTAGAACCAAAATAAAACAAGATCAGAAAAATATTTTACTTGTTTAATTCTAGAAACATGTGAACAGCAGGTAATTGTTATATGATACATAAAGTTTTTTTTATAGCATTATTTTACAACAGGGTTCGGATTTTATAATTCTTAGAATTTTTTGTATCATATTGAAAGACAATCACAGCAGCCGAAGGTGAAACAATAGAGAAACAAACAATTTAACTAGGATACCACCAAACTGATCACACATTCTTGCTCGATAATTGAAGAGGCAGGAAATAGAGTACTGCAGCTCTCAATCACCAGTCATCATTTCCATAAATTCTGTAAAGTATACGATTTTATAAATATTGTTAAAATTCAAAATAAATTAATTATTAATAAAGAAGTAGCACCCACAACATAAATTCTAGTATATAAATCACATCGAATAAAGTTATTGTACAATAACAAAACCTAGACGGGGGAAACGCGTTTTAGCTCAGATTAAAGTACGAACCTACGTATTTTGAGAGCATATCGTATGCTTAAATAGTCAAGCTATTATGTATTGTTCTTTCCTCCAGAATATACTTTGTTAAAATATCGTAATTCCAGCTGATTATAACAGTTGTGTCCGGCCAAATTTACCCGCAAATATATTTGACATCTTACTTATGATAGAAATATACCTACTTTTTGTATATTCGGAATATACAAAATATTTGCCATCCGCCTACCTACACTTATACGCAATTTGATCCGCCTATCGAAAAATTTTGGCACTACTGGATTAGACCATTAGCCAGCTTAATTAACGTCGTTTGTTAGGATCTTTCCTTTTTTTTCTTCTAGCATACTATTAACATTTTTGGACGAACGTGTGTTTTACACATCAAAAATATAGTTAATGAAGTATCTTCTTTACTATAGCAATAATTAAAGACATGTACAATTACTATATCATATTTTAAATCAATTTTCTCTCACGTTTCCCAGAAAGCGTTGTTATTTACATTATTAAAGTAATATTTAACATTAATTTAAATTAAAATTGTATCGGTACATATATATATTTGTACTGATATTGATATTCATATTGTAGATATCTAAGACCATTATATATAAATGTATTGTAAAAATTAAATGTAAAATTGTAATGAACCGCTTGTGTTTTTTAAGCTGTTCGTTGCAATGTTGTTTGTTATCTTTTTCTATATATAGCTTAATTTAAAAAGTATGCTGTGTATATGTAGTGTTTGCTTGCTTAAGCAATACTGTCTGTAACAAAGCGATAGCTTATTGGAATTTGAAGAATTATTAATGTATTTTATTCTTTTATATCTATGTGAGTTGTTCGTGACTGAATACAAGAATTAATGTATATTTTTATATTTATTGTTTCTGAGTAACAAAGAGGAGAGGGAATTGTTATAATTTTTCAATATTATCTATATACAACAACTAAATATTTAGTATAAAATAGCATAAAATTTAAGTTTTCTTAAAAATATATAATTAGAATAAAGAAATAAATTTATAGAATGAAGCCATTGTCTAATTAACTAATTTTTTAAAATACAATTTTAAATATATTACCTTGAAAATTAACGAATAAAAACGCATAATATTTTATCGTTATGTATTTAAAATAACTTACATTTAAAAAATGATTTATTTTTATTTAGTGATTTATTTTCGTTGTGGTAATTTACTTAGTTCTATATACACAAATAACGGATTTAAAAATAACTATAATTACACCCGTCTGGTTATATGAATAATTGCAATTAATCTTAAAAGTTGGCTTTACAAAAGCATTCTTTTTTTCTTTGCTAAATGAAGTAACTATTAAAGAGAGAGAAAAGATTCTACCGTTGATTCCCGACATATATTGCAACGTTTTATCACAGTTTTATCGAGATATCAGGCTAAAGAGAACATCATTAGATATTGCTAGATGATATCTTCGAGTATATGATATAAATGACTATTTTTACTTTCATAATCGATATTTTGATGTAATTTTCTTAATTATCAATATAATTTAAAAATGTTTAAATGTAACTTATACGTAGGCCTATATAAAGTGAAACAATGCTTTAAACTTTAAGTATAAACATACTCGAGACTGTGTAATATATATATACGTAAAATATTATTAAATCGACTTGAAATGTGTCTTCTTATATATTATGCTATTTTGGCTAATTAAGAAAGATTTTTATTACTAAAAAAAAAGGATCGAAATCCATTCTTAGAGTTAACAATATGCTAGAGATAAGTAGGTTGCGACCAAGTTAGAATTGCCTTATAGAAGAACGTCTGGAGTTCCTCCAAAAATAAATAAATCTTTTTTTAGAAATGTTGACTTTCAGACAATTGGAACGTCGTAGTAAAACTTCTAAGTTTACATTGAAAGAAGGAAATGGTAAATGTCTAATCGAAAAATGGCTTCATTCCATAGTCGAAAAATGCAAAATACGATAATGTTTTTACTGGCAACCGGATGCAGATTTTCTTTTCTTTAAGTCTGCGGAATATGCAAATTAAAACAATGATCTCACCTTCAAAGTCGACGGTACCGCTTCCATCGGTATCAATTTCAGCGATCATTTCGTCTAACTCATCTTCGGTCAACTTGTCGTCCAGAGCACGCAAAATCTGTCGTAAATCCGAAACGTTAATGTATCCGTTTCCTTCTTTGTCATATAATCTGAAAGCTTCTCTTAATTCTTGTTCCATGGCTGCGGTATCTTCTTCCAGCAAAAACCTGGCCGTTAGTACCAAGAACTCATCGAATTCGATCTCACCGCTCCCTGTAATATAATCGTATCGATTAGCATCGTAATGTAATATAATCGTATCGATCGACATAATTGATATAGATCTAAATAGTCCTGGGAAATTCGTAAAATATTATTCAAGACGATAACATTGTAAGAATAACATAGGTTCTACTCGTTCGTAAAAATATAAATTAGGTTATGCTAAATGCAAAAATATCATACAAAATATAAATTTTAGTCTACACTACACATTAAAAAAATGAAAAATTTAAAAGTTATGAGAACTCAAATGTGATTTATGTATTAATGTACATATATTTACATTTCTGTATAAACTGATGTTCGGTTTCCTTCCTAAAAATTTGTTTGAATTTAATTCATTTTTTGAATAGCTCAATGTTTTTATTGTTACTTCCTGTTTGTTTTTAAGTTTTAAATATAAATTTATTGTTAAATCTGTTTTTATATTTGTATATTGCGAAAAGATAAGGCTACTCTGTATTACATTTTTAAAAATTATATAGAAAGACTTACACATTCATAAAATTTTTATAATACAATTTCGCAATTATTGTTTAATTTTAGTGTTATTCCTGATTAAAAACAAATATTTAATGTTTTTTTTTACCTATAAGCCGTAAGAACGTTATTAAATTCCTACTGTATGGTGCGTGAGTCATATCAATTGCCTTTTGAGTCGAGGAATTGCAGTATTTAGGTTAAATATCTCTCATAATAGAAAATTTTTATAAAAATTAAAAATTTTTGATAGATTTATGTGATTAGATTTTATTATTTCGATAATATAAAAATATAACAGTGAAATTTCCAATGTTTATTTATTTTTCTAAATTCCTCAACAAGAAAGGGTGGGGGAAAACATCTCTATTCTAAATAGAGATGTTTTTCTCCCACCCTTTTTTGTTGAGGAATTTAGAAAGATTCTTTTTATTTAAAAAAAAAAATAAATAATGTACAGTACATCTTTAAGTAATTGTATTTTGAATAAAATGAAAATATTTTAAAGTAATAATAGTAAATGTAATCATATAACGCATATTGAAATCTATTTTCACTAGAATAGTAAAATTTACGCATTTGATAAATATTTTATTAAATATATCACTTAAAAAGCACTTTAAAATTCAAATATATTGTATTGCATTTTCAAAATTTCTAATATTTTAATAGAGAAATGTTAATTAGAATACATTCCCTGAAAAGATTGCTACTCCTATAAACACTAATGTAAGAGTTACTATTAATAAAAACAATGATATTATCATCGTTTAAACTTCAGTCAAATTCATCTGAAGGTGAGTGAGAAATGTATTTGTAAGTTGACCGTTTTTAGAGTTTATATAGGGTAATAGGGCTTATAATGATATTAAAATTAATTTTAAAATTTTAATTTAAAAAAAAGGAGTTAAATATTTGTAGTATCAAGCGAAATTTATTTTCCGGATGAATTTAAAATAAAATTTTTGAAAGCAGAAAAAAAAATTTCAGCCTTTTATTGCTGATTAAACAATTAGAAAAGTTGCGCAGAAGAATTCTCACCATCGGCATCTACTTCAGAGATGAGTTCCCTTAACTCTCTCTCGTTGAAAGTTTGGCCCATGCTTCTCAAAATGGTGCCAACCATGTCACAATGGATGTAGCCTTTCTTATCGCGATCGAACATGTCGAAGGCCTTCTTCAACACTATAAAAATTATTGTTCCTCATATAATATCTTTCAAAAAATATATACAACTAAAAATGCTTTATTTTCTTATAATGTAATTAAAATTTCGCCATTCCTCTTCGTGATCTTAGGAGTTCAAAAATCACAAAACTCGTGACTTTCGGACACCGCCCTTAACGGTAAACGTGCGAAACGCATAGATGTAATCCTCCCCTATCGTTTTTACATTTATAAATCTCTTTCCATTATAACGTCAGCAAGGTAAGCCGTCCATTGAGATGGGAAATAGGCCAAACACGGCTAAACAATGCAGTCAGTAACATGATTCCGTTGGCTGTACTGCAATGCGGCTCTCCCTTGTCCTCGCCAAATTTGGCTCCCTTAACGGTAACGCTTAAATTAAGCAACCCGTGTTCTCCGTTACCCCCGATAATTCGAAAACTCGATCGAATGGGCATTGGATATACAACAAAGAATGGTTATTCCATATCGTTCTTACACGCGTCTTTTACATACACGAAAATTTCATAATGATATTAATTGATATAATTGTAATAAACAATCTTTAAAAAAAAAAATGCTATAAATAAATATTCAATTTAAAATTGTAAAATTTTGTAAAAACTGTTGTAAATGCCCAGAAGAATTTTAAATTCTATCAATTATTATAATTTAAAGGGCAAAACGCGCGGAGTTGTTGCTTAAAACGCTCTCAAGAGATCACGAATTTCGATTATTAAATTCTTATATTAATATTAATAAAATTTATATTTTAAAAAAAACAAAAACAAAAATACATACTTTCGACTTGCTCTGCACTCAAGTCTTCTGCCGACTGCGGATTAAAAAAAAAGTTAGAAAATAATCAACAAGTTATCAAAACTTTCTAAACTTCATAACATAAAGCGTGGTCAGTTAAAAAGCCAATGGACTATAAATGATAAATGCAACTCACCATTTTGTTCTAGTTAATCAGTTAGGAAACCGGGAAGAACCGGGGTTTAGTGTGAAGTGGATGTTTTAGTAGAAGAGAACTATACTTTCAATTTCTTGTACTATTCTCGCAAAGCAGTATGGGTGCCGTGCGAGGCGGTCTGGATCATAACTCGACACGGCCGACCTCGGGCCATTTTCGGATTTATCACGTGATAGGTCGACCATTGTGAACACGAGATCCTGCGTTGTAGTCAGTTTACGCCGTCTAATTTTAGCTACCATCCTCAAAAGATGGTATGTTGCAAACTCCCTGTCAGGTGTGGCTCCGAACAGAGTTCTCCTGGGAGACGAAATTTATGGCCCGAAGTGGACATGCACGTGTAATATTTCGATTGCATACTTATATAAATCTTGAAATCTCTCTAAGAATTTAAGATTTAAGATATTTACAACCATGTGACGTTATCGAAAGTTATCTTCGTTGTTTATTGTACTTTATAAAGTAACTTGTCTCAAAGTAGCTTTGTTTACGAATTACAAAAATGTACATAATGAAAATGGAGGATCAAACAAGCGATATCGAGTTTCGGTGTGTTAATCTCTCGCCTTTCAGGCTAATGCCCGATAGAATGAGAGTGAAAACGAACTCGAATAAGTCGTCAAAATGATGGATAACGCATTTCTATTCAATTAATCTAAAGATATTCATTCTTAACGTTTTGAAGAGTTACTCGGCGTTACTAGAATATCGTGAAAGGAGATTGCGGATGATATCAGGGATGTAGAGTTCAAAAGAGGAAATACTCTAAATTTAAACACAAGAAAACGGCGGAAGCTGCTATTTTCTGATAAAACGGAAGCTCGGGTCAAGGTCAGCAAACCATTGATTGGTCGGTGTCTCGGGAGACTTTGAATCACATCCAACACACTTAACGCAATATGACATTCATTTCTTTTATGGCAACCCCTCGGGTCACGAACTAGCCGTACTCCGCTTCGAAAATGTAATTATAAATGAGATAAGAAAAATAACTAGACATAAGCAATATTTGGTAATTTGAGTAAAGTTTCTTTAACCGAATCACTTCGTTTTAAAGACGGAACGTCAAGTTAAAAGGAAGAATATTGTCAATCAATAGTTGAGCAGATAATTTAGCTATTGTTAGTCCGGAAGTTTCGTCACTCGAGTAGCGTGTTTCTGAGTAGATTTGGTAGGAGAGAGGGATCAGTTTGTTTAACTAATCGTTCTTTAGAATCGATTACGTCACGGTAGATCGTTTCGGCCACCACGCGACACTTTACACCCCGATACGGTTGACAAAACGCGTACTTTTTGCGTACAAAAACTTATTATGAAAATGTATCGTGTTTTTTTTAACTTTTTATAACTATTTTTAATCATTCGATTACATTTTTTTCGTTACATATTAAAAAATTCAACATATAATCTGTTCAAATAAATGTATATTGTATGAAAATTAATATCATACAGATTATAACTTTTTCATTAACGATAGAGTACGTGAATACTAATTTTTAAAATAATTTTTTATATTTTGTTTTTTTTTTAAAAAACTTTATTATTTAAAAAATGAAAATTAAAAAAATGTGAATAAAAATATTAATTAAAATCGATATAAAATCTAATCAATCATCGTTCAATTTTTTAAATATTTTTTCAAAATTTTTATTTATTTTACTAACGTTTTAAATAGTAAAAAATGTTAATATTTAAGCAATTTTTCTTATAAAATATTTTTTTAAAATAATGGAAATAATATATATAAATCTCTAACGATGCGTAAAGAAAATTAAGCGATTTTATTCCTGTACAAACGTGCAAAATATGGATTTAGACGTATTTTTGACTACTGATTTATTGTGTTGCTATGACATTTCTCTTCTTAAGGGGGAAAAAATAGAGAAAAAGAAAAGAAGATAATTCAATAATTCTTCTTAGACGTAAAAACAAAGTGATAATTTACTTCCAACACATTAATTTTAATAATGCTTCTTTGACTGATTGTCTTATTTTTCAAAGCTAAAACATTTATAAATTGAATTAGATTTCGATTTGGATCATTAAATAAGTTATATTTAACTGTTTTATTTTCAAATATATTAAATTTAATCTTGACTGTGATAATAAGATTAATATATAAACATAATTCTAAATAAAGATTGCTAGATTTATATTAATAAAATATCAAAAGAAAACATTCAGATACTTCAAATAATTATTTTATAAAGATAAAATTTATATTCGTTATAATATATACAGTCAAACCTCTAAACAAACAGAACATAAAAAATGGACGTTGTTGGGAGGTTAGTTTGTATACATTTTTGTTTATCACATCTAAAAAATGGGGTCGCCGTTTAGAGGTGGTTTTATTGGATGTTTCACTGTGTAGAGCCTCAACAAAAGCGTATCTGGTATTGTTTTTAAGAATCAAAATAATATCAGAGCTAAAATTAACATTTAAAAATTTGCAATTTAACTTTAAGAATTGGATTTAGTGGTTATTTATATTAAGATAACTCATTGATGAAGAAGTTTTACGATAAATGCGAATTATTATATCTTGATAAATTTTCAGATGATAAGTATCCAATTTAAGATATTTTATTATAGTGACGTAGCCAGAAATTAAATTTGGCAAGAGATGACAAATAAACTTAAATTACACTAGTCATAAAAGTTCTTACATTTTATTAACGTAAATAATAAAAAGAATTGACATTGCCAACTTCAAAGTAATAAAAAAAAATTTGTATTTACATTATATTTAAATTATAATTGATCTAAAAATTTAATTTTAATTATTTTTTTATTATTAAAATTACTCTTTTTAGACGGGACATAACCTATTAACATCGTAGTCTATACCAAACTTTAACTAACTGATATATTTATATATTTAAAATATTATTTNTATTTTTCATTATTTTTTTTATTAAAATTAAAAATACGTGGCATTTTTGTATACGTTACGAACACGATATGCTGTGTTGCATTGATCCTGAACTTCCCATTATATAATAAATATATATATATATACAGAATATTTGTTATAATTTAGGCTTATGTATAACAAACATAAATATGCTATATTTATTTAGCTACAAGTAAATAATACATTTTTTGTGGTAAGATTTTATTATAACTAGGTCTAAATTTTGAAATAATTAAAGTATTAATGTAGCCTATACGAGATGAATAATTTCCGAGTCTTGTAGCTAATTAAAAGACTTAGGAATAATATAGGAATAAAAAAAAGCACCAAATAATGAGAACCGGGTGGTCCACTTCTATCATCCTCCCCGTTTCAAAACCGATAAACATAAACCAAATGTAGATTTTAATCATGATGTGTTTGCGAATGCATCATAATGGTGTATATCAGAGGTGTCCAACAGTTTTTGTCTCCGGGCCGAATTGGAAAGAAAACTTTTTTCACGGGGCGAACCAGAGGCTGCCCTAGGAAGATTTTGAGGTGGTGCGAGATCTCATTGTGGTGTCACCCCATAGAGACTAAATTGTAGATAGAGATTACAGATACATTTTTCACATTATCATGCTTTATCAATATTATACACTGTACTTAAGAGATTTGTAATGGAGGGTAACTCTAAACGCACAGTGAGTTGTTGACCTTTTTTTTTTCATCGATCTATTCGGACTTCAGTAGCTAATGTTGAAAGATTAATCGCGGGCCACATAAATTCATTAGACGAGCCGGATCCGGCCCGTGGGCCGTATGTTGGCCTTGCCCGGTATGTATGGTGGAGGTAAGACCATTAGGAACATTATAAAATTTTATTTCTTGAATGATACTTTCTCTGAAGATTTTTGGAGTAATAATTTATTATTTTTCGACTAATTTCTGTAGTTAAATTATTCAAAATTGTTAAGAAATTAATTAATTAACATTTAAATATATTTTTGACGAGCGATCCGATTGGTATTTTCTAATTATACATTATGTTACTGGAGTTTCTCATACTTTGTACTTTTATTTTTGATTTTTTTATGTGTATGGGTGTGTTTCTAATTCTTATAGCCTACTTTTCAATTTAGCTTAATAATCTTGCTACAAGTTTTTGTTTTTTTCGATTAGTTAATTTAATGTCGAATTAATTTATAATTAATTAACGATAATATTTGTGTATCGATTATGAATTAATGACAAGACTATTAAATATTTTGAATCATTGAAAGCAATATATTTAGTAATTTCGAATACATTTCTTTTTATACATTATAGAAAAAATTTCCGATTAGTTATTATATTCTTCATCACATCGCAATCATTTATAAAGGATAACATTAAAGAGTGCTTCGCCTTTAAATTAGTGCTATTTAATTAAATTGCACGGGTGTTGCGTAAAAAGCTCAAAAATACTCAAAAAATACATTTTCCGAAATTAAGATTTTTATTCGATTAGAAGAAAATGAAAGTTATTAAATGATATTGAATTTTAATATCAATTTGGCATAATCTGTTAAAAATATTACGTGGAAACATTGCAACAGATCAAGATTGAGTAGCTTAGATATTATAATATACAGGAATAATAGCTTAAGCAAGCAATAAAGAAACAAATGAAAATTTTAAGAAAACACGTACAAAAGTACGAAAAGAAAAATATCACAGCGTAAAGTAGAAGCACTTATACTGTAGAAGCACAGAAGTACTGTCAGAATATGATATCAAAAATGTGAAATTTGTAAAGTGTGTCGCGAGTGGAGTAAAATTCGAAACCACCTATTTAAGTGACAAAAATTTACTTTAAAATGACAGTCGCAAACGAAATAATTGGGTTAATATATTAATAATATGTCAGTCTAATAAGTAATTTTTAACATAGTTTGTTCTTTTTGTTGAGTGCTATCTGCAATTTTGAAAATTTAAATTACTTTATTAGCACATTGTATTTTATTGATTTTTTTTTCTTTTCTTTATTTGCAGGACCACAGAAAATACGAGATTACCGAAACACAACGCATTCCAGGATAAATCACAACAGTAACTTTCTTTGCTAAATTTGATGTACATTAAAAAAAAAGAAACATCAAAATTCATTATTTTTTTTAATGGAGTCACATACATTTTGTAAAGAAATGTGGCACATTTCTTTACAAAATGTATAGATAATGTGTAATGTGCCAC